ATTCTCCTGTAGTCCCACCTACTCAGGGGGCTGAGGTGAATATTCAATGTTTTACTTTTGAGTTAGAGTCTCACTCTGTTGCCCAGGCTGGTCTCGAACCTGTGAGCTCAGGCAATCCTCTCACCTCCACCTCTCAAAGTGCTGGGATTACAGGCTTGAGCCACTGCGCCCGGTTGCTTTTTCTTTCTTTAATTCCAGAAAACTTACCAAGCAATTCTGGAGAGAGGTCTAAATTAAAAGTACATTCAAAAATTCACTAGTAGCCATAAAATTCTAACATGCAAAGCAAAAGCAAAAAGCATATTTATAACCCCAAATTTCAAACTACAAGATTGAATGTCAGAAGACCACATTTCCTATTGGCCTGTAAAACATAGCCAACATGCGTGGTTCTGAGTATTTAGAAGGATCCAGGCAATCAGAACTTAGCTGGAATCTAAGAAAAAGGTAGGCGATCAAGGATCTAGGTCTTCTGGAAACAGCAACTGGTATGTGACCAGTGTGGCTTGGGAAGCCTGTCCCCAGTCCTACTCACAGACCCCCAAAACACCCATGTTATAAACTGATATCCCTAAAAGACACCTCTTATATTCCCAGTGGACAAATTTAAGCAAAATTAAATCTGAGAGGCATAAAAGAAACAACCACTGCTGTAACCATTTCATTCCTCTGCTTTAGAGGAATAAAGTTAAAAGAGGTCTTTGTAGGCCAGATGCAGTGGCTCATGCCTATAATCCCAGCACTTTGGGAGGCAGAGGTGAGAAGACTGCCTGAGCCCATAGTTTCGAGACCAGCCTGGACAACATGGCGAGACCTTATTTCTACAATAAATCAAGAAAAATTAGCAGGGCATGGTGGCACATGCCTCTGATTCCAGCTACTTGGAAGGCTGGGGTGGAAGGATCGCCTGGGCCCAAGCAGGTCGAGGCTGCAGTGGCTGCGAGCATGCCACTGCATTCCATCCTGGGCAACACAGTGAAACTCCAACTAAAAAAAAAAAAAAAGAGGTCTTTCTAAAGACACAGTTTTAAGCAGAATATGGCTGAAATTCAAGGCTCTCTAGTGAGGGAGACTCCTCTGTTATTGTTGTCCCTTGGGTCTTTCCCTAAATCTAAAGTTGAACTTCCTAGACAACCCAAGCCCTGCCATCTGACACCTCTCTAGCCATATCTAAAAAGTAAAATGTCTCATTTTATCCAAGGGGTAAAAGAAACTTAAATTAATTGTGATGTGAGACCCTCTCCTTAGCAGAAAATAACAATACTTAACAAAAAGAACACAATCCTTTCTAGAATTTAAGGCCAGCAGACACAGTTGGTATCAACATTGTTCTTCCCTTCAGGGCTCCAGGGTTTTATTTCCATTCCTAAACTCTTTAATGAATACAAACTATTTGGAAACATCTCTAGGCATTTTTGCTGTCCCACCCTTCACCCTGTCCTTCCACCTTCAATCCTGATGGAGAGATTTCTGGAACTCCCTATAAGTGTATTACAAAAACTAACCAACTTCACAATTGCTCCTCCAAAATGTTTACAAGATCTTTAGATGATAGTGTATGTTCAGAAGGATGAGGAAGCATCTGACCTAGCAGTCTAGACACAGTCTAAGGGCTCAGGAGAGCAGAGTTAGCTCTTAGACACCAGACACCATGTCTCCTGTGTTCACAGGAATGGCTCACAGGCACAGCCATCTGGGTTGGACAGCCTCCAGAAGCAGACCCGACAAACCCTCATGTGCAAGGGCCTGGCAGCATGCGCCACTCTCATCACCGTCCTTTAGAGAAAGTTGAGACCTAAGGTTATCCTGCGGGCTGAGCAGGCAGGTTTCCAAATGGCCTGAAGGGAAGTGGAACTCTGCCAAAAGGCCACGCCCCAAACAGTGCAAACTCAGAGAGGATCAAGGGAAGGACTGTGATATAGAGACACATGTGGATATGGGAGTTAAGTTATAGAACATGAAATCACACAGATGTACCAGCTTGCACACTAAGAGGCCCTCACAAATTACATATTCTGAAGCTAAAACACCAAATGCTCCATTTTCTACCTAAAATATAAACTATTTATTTTTTGAGTCAGAGTCTCATTCTGTCACCCAGGTCAGAGTGTAGTGGCATGCTCACATCTACCACAGCCTCAACCTGCTGGGCTCAGGTGATCCTTCCACCTCAGCCTTCCAAGTAACTGGAACTACAGGCGTGTGTCTACCACACCTGGTTAATTTTTTTATTTTAATTGTCTCGCTATGTTGCTCAGGCTGGCTTTGAATCTGTAGGCTCAGTCAATCCTCTCACCTTGGCCTCCAAAAATGGTGGGATGACAGGCATCAGCCACTGTGCCCAGCTCATTTACTATATGTAAATACAGAAGTGTCTCTTTTTTCTTTTTGAAGATTGGCTGCTATGTAAGGCAAACAGTTTATGTTTTACACACAGAAAACTTATTCACATAACAGCTTTTATGGAACTGAAAAAAGCTCTCCACAACACTAAGGTTCATTAAAATATTTTTAATATTAACATACATTTTCTTCTCTCAGAAATACACAAAACTTTTAAACATTATATCAGCATTGAACAATAAAACCCTACTGACATACATAGAAAATGTTTTACAAACAGAATAACCTACGTATTCAAAACACTTTCAGCAAATTTTTCACTTGTGTTTTTTGGGGATATGATACAGACTCGAATGGAATGAGGACTGCTTGAATTAGGTTCATTATTTTTGTAATTTCAGTCTTTCACAGCTTAGTGTGTATGCAACTGTACTGTTGATGAGATAGAGAATTATAATACTTTCCATCTTTTAGTAGTCTTTTAATGGAACCAAAAAATATCCCGTGTGTTGCATTTCTTGCAGGAATCAGCTGGTATGAAGACCTACTAGGGCTTGCTTCTTCTGTGGGTGATTTCTGAATGCATTCAATATTCTCATCCCAAGTGTTGAAAATTGCCTACTTTGTTTACCTGGGATGTGCTGCTTCCTGACCATGTGCTGATTATGTTCAGCCTTTCAAATTAATGGATGAGGTAGCTCAATCCAAGTAATCACCACTGCTTGAAGTGAAGGGAAAGGGAAAAAGACAGAAAAATTTTCCCCATCAGCTGAAATGCACATCCTCACTCATCCATCACACAGCTTTGGACAGATAAGAGGAAAGGAAACATATAGAGTAGAAGGTATATCCAGAGAGATCACATGATAGAGAAATGGATACAAATGCCTCACCTAAAAGTGGTTCTGTGAACCAAGTTCCCCAGTCAGGTTGTCACATTTTCATTTACATTTCTATTTTCTAACTTTCTAAGTTATAAGAATCATTTCAACAGATGACACACATATGTGTATCATATACAGCATAGCACTAGGCACCGACTTAAAATACTCATGAAGTACACAAGAATGTAAGGCACTTTCGCGGTTTACAAAAGTGAATGCCTCAAAGTTAGATATTTACGAAAAATGGAGAACTATCCTTATAAAAGTTTATAGAAGCCCTGAAAAACCCAGTAGATATGAATTGTTAGCAGTCATGGCCAACATTTTGAAAACTGTAGTGTGACCAAAGATCAGAGACATAATAGATAAATAACTTTTTAAAATTACCGAGTTCTATGCATCAGTGTCAGGATTCTAAAACTGTCCTCACAAAAACCTACCAGCTCTAAGTTCTTAGTTTCTCAGCCACAGAAGACTGAAGAGCAGGATGCAGACACTCAGCGTAATGCTGTTTAGACGGGATGATGACACCACCGCACGTCAGTTCCAGAGAGATTGGGAGTAATAAAGACTTTGACTTTGTTTTGCAAAGTTATTTTCCACAAATATTAGGGCTAAGACAGAATCTTATTCAAACCACGTAAAATGTAAATTTCATATATTTTCTCAAAATCAAGAAATTTTAAATTTTCAAGTACAAATACTGTTGATGTAAATAATGTGAGCTTTTTTTATGACTCCTCAAAATTAAAAGAATGCTTGCAACCTACAGTGTACTATATTTCTTATCTGGGAGATATCAGAAGAACTTAGATATTCCAATGTTGAAAAACTGATTTAAGGAAACAGTCTTTTTTTTTTTTTAAGTTGGAATCTCACTCTGTCGCCCAGGTTAGAGTGCAGTGGCATGCTCATGGCCACTGCAGCCTCAAACTGCTGGCTTAGGTGATCCTTCCTCTTCAGTCTTCCAAGTAGCTGAACTACAGGCATGCACCACAATGCCTGGCTAATTTTTTTATTTACTGTAAAGATGAGGTCTCACCAAGTTGCTCAGACTGTTCTCAAACCCCTGGGCTCAAGCAATCCTCTCACCTTGGCCTCCTAAAGTTCTGAGATTACAGGCTGAGTCGCCACGCCCAGCCAACACCCATTTTTTAATGCCATCTTTCCTCCAAATTCTACGAAAATCACTCTTTAGATCATGGCTGGTAAGGACAGGCCATTATCAAAGTCAAAGATTAAGGACAGACTCACTGTATCTTTCCTCTTTAGTCACAAATTAAAGGAGCATGGGCTTTAGGGTTTTTTTTAATTCTTTTCTTTTTTTTCTGTTTTGTAGAGATGGGCTCTAGCTATGTTGCCCAGGCTTGAACTCCTGGCCTCAAGCAATTCTCCCACCTTGGCCTCCCAAAGTGCTGGGATTATAGGCATGAGCCACCACACTGAGCCTAAAAATTACAATTACTATATTACATCACTTTAACAATTTAGTGGTTATCTTTGACCTGAAAATGAGATTTGTTTATTTATTCACTTTTTGAGTCAGAGTCTTACTCTGTTGTCCAGGCTGGAGTGCAAACGGCATCCTCACAGCCACCGCAGCCTCAACTTGCTGGGTTCAGACAATTTTCTGCCTCAGACTTCCAAGTAGCTGGAACTACAGGTGCACGTCACCATTTCCAGCTAATTTTTTGACTTATTGTAGAGATGAGGTCTCACTAAGTTGCCCAAGCTGGTCTCGAACCCTGGGCTCAGGCAATCCTCTAACCTCAGCCTCCCAAAGTGCTGGAATGACAGGTGTGAGCCACCACACCAAACTAGAAATGAGATTTTAAAAACCATTTTCTTAGAATTAAAGGATACAATTAGTACACTGTTGTTGCTGGCATGGAGATTAGGATGACTACCTAACTTTTAAAACTATTTACAATCCAAACCTTTGCTGCACTTCATCTGCAATCATTGCAGAAATTGCAAGGGAAGAAGTGGCAGCAGGGGAAGGTGCATTTCTCACATGAAGAATTCGATTTCCAATATCCCCAACTCCTCCATCAAATACAAAATCTTCTACCAGATTTCCTTCTCTATCAAGGGCTTGGGCTCTTACTCCAGCAGGACCTCTGCAAAAATAAAAGAGTAGGAGTCAACCGACTTAAGGACATAGGACACTTGACAAGTCAGTGTTTCCAAAGATTCTTAAAGCAATAAAGTCTTTTCTCTTCAAAATGTACAATTATGTGAAAACTCAATAGGACTACGTTTGGCCAAAGGCTGTCAGCTGTGGCCTGTCAAAGCTGTATAGTTAGCCTAGAGCAAAAGCTCAGGACATAACGCCAGTGCAATAAATGCTTATCAGATAAATTCACAAATAGGTAAGTTATCAGTATCTGTCAAATAAATACACAAGTAGGTAAGTTACTTATCAATGTCTGTTCTTTCCAAAAGTAGTAGATAAATCCACATCTAACTAGAATATATATATTTTACTTTACATGTATAGAATGATAAGAACATAAAAATGGGTTAATTTAGCAGCATGTTAATACAGTGAGAGCCTTTACTAATTAAAGCTCTGTTTTATAAGATTTGAGTTCACACATTAGATTTGTTATTTTTTATCTTTATTTAATTTTTTATTTATTGTAGAGATGTGGTCTCACCAGGTTGCCCAGGCTGGTCTTGAACTGATGGCCTCATGCAATCCTCTCACCTTGGCCTCCCAAAATGCTGGGATTATAGATCTGTTATTTTTTAAATAGTTAAAACTTACATAAAACTCATTGTGCTGCAGTGAGCTATGATCGCGCCACTGCACTCCAGCCTGGGTGACAGAATGAGACCTTGTCTCAAAAACAAACAAATAAAGCCAAAAACCTCTTGTTCAGATTCCTTGCAGGATTCCATAGGGAAGATGACTTACCTTTATCATGCAACCTTTCGCACTTCCTGTTGCAATTCTTATTTGCCTCTCTATATAAATGAACAACATAGCTCTGTGATGGCAAGCTACTTAATATCTCTGTGTTTCTTTGCTGTTAAATAAAACCTGCATCAGCCTCTTAAGAGTTGTTTTGAGGACTGAGATAACTGCTAGCACAGAGTAAGCACTTGGTAAATAATAGCTATCATTAGTATCTTTCTTCAGCCAGCCTGAAGTCTCAGAAGGCAGTGCCCTCAGAGTGTTCTTTATATTTTCCGCAAGTGTTTAATTTCAGTTGTCCCAGAATCAATAAAAAATGTCTGATATTGTTGTCTGATTTCTTGAGTCTTGCTGGTATGTATAAGATAGACTTTCTCACACTGGGCTTCCTGGAACTGTTTCAAAGAAGATACTTTTCTTTCTTTCTTTAAAATTTTGTCTTTTTTTTTTGAGTTGGAGTATCACTCTGTCACTCAGACTGGAGTGCAGTGGCCGCTCCTGGCCACCGCAGCCTCAACCTGCTGGGCTCCGGCGATCCTTCTGCCTCAGCCTTCCAAGTAGCTGGAACTACAGGCACACACTACCATACTCGGCTAATTTTTTGACTTATTGTAGAGATGAGGTCTCACCAAGTTGTCCATGTAGGTCTCAAACCCGCAGGCTCAGGCAATCCACTCACCTCAGCCTCCCAAGGCACGGGATTACAGGCTGAGCCACCGAGCCCGGCTCTTATTTTTCTTTTTTGAGTTGGAGTCTCACTCTGTTACTCAGGCTGGGGCGCAGTAGCACACTGCTCATGGCCACTGCAGCCCTGACCTGCTGGGCTCAGGCTATCCTTCTGCCTCAGCCTTCCAAGTAGCTGAACTACAGGTGCGCGCCACCATGCCCAGCTAAGCAGACTTCTTTTGACGGGCACTGAGACCCAATCAGAATCCAGAAACATGTACTTTACCTTATTTTTGTAAAAACTGTTTGTGTTTTTACCTTATTTGTACAAAATTACTGCTTAGGTGATGTCTGGGAAAGTGATGTAACCTCTGAAGTACTCAGCCAATGATGAACCTGCGACTTAGGGGATAAATACACTGGCTGTGACCACCTTGGTGTCCCTGCTCACCCAAGAGGCATCCATTCGTCCAAGAATGCTTCACTCTCCTGATCACTGAGTCTCTGTGTTGTGCTTTAATGATGACACTGAGGAGGGCTGATGCCACCTCTCACATGGTCCATTTTGTGCATTCTTTATTTATTGCTTTTCTCAACTCATCAAAGCAGCAGTTCTCCCCTCTTCTCTTCCAAAATGCTACTGTTGCTGTTAAGAGTGCCTCTGTGTTTGAGCTTTGTCTTTCTCCTCATATCTGGTAGAAAACCAACATGCTGGGGCACACAGTGGCATGGTCAGCTGCTGATGTGGAGTGTTTAATGGAAAACCCTCCTCTGTACAGAGGTTCACTCAGTACATTCCCCTTGCTCCTCCTAAGCATATACAGGGCAATACTGACTAACCAGTTTAAAATTTCAACAGTTATTTCTCTTACAAATGCAAATTATGTCCTCAATGTCTCCTACAGTCTTTTCCAAGTATTTCAAACTTTAGAATACACATTGAAAAAAAAAAGGAATGTTCTTCTTAGGATCTTACATTAGTTCAAACTAGTATTTAACATGAAATGCTTAAACTACCAAATTTTCCATGTTCCTTTCAGCACTTAAGGCAATGAAAGGATTTTTCCTTTTTTTGAGTTAGAGTCTCACTCTGTCACCCAAGCTGGAATGAAGTGGCACAATCACAGCCACCATGGCCCCATCCCGTTGGGCTCAGGTGATTCCTCCACCTCAGCCTTCCAAGTTGCTGGAACTACAGGCATGCACCACCACACCCAGCTAATTTTTTGATTTATTGTAGAGATGAGGTCTTGCCAAGTTGCCCAGGCTGGTATCGAACCCCTGGGCTCAGGTAATCCTCTTGCCTCGGCTTCCCAAAGTGCTGGGATTACAGGCTTGAGCCACCGCACCCAGCTGAAAGGGTTTTTCTTTGCAGGATCACATATGCTTTCCCCCCCACCAGAACACTTCAACTTGGTATACGTATTATAATATGAATACACAAGTAAGATCAACTATAAATGTCTCGAGGGCAAGGACAGCATCAACACCACCCCTACTTTATCTCCATGTCTAGATCTGTGTCTTGCAAACAGTAGGTATTCAATAAGGTCAGAAAGTTTACCTTTAACTTTAGGCTAAATTTTTAAATTTCTATTCCATTTTTTTTTTTTTTGAGACAGGGTCTCACTCTTGTTGCCCAGGCTAAAGTGCAGGGCATGATCACAGTTCATTGCAGCCTTGATTTCCTGGGCTCCAGCAATCCTCCTGCCTCAGTCTCCAGAGTACCTAGGACTATAGGCACATAACACTGCCCTTAGCTAACTTCTAATTCTTTTACTTTTTTTTTTTTTTT